GCCGCCAGGATACCCGCCACCCACATTTTGCACAGAAGGGTGGATGGTAAGCTCACCATCCTGGGTTGACATGGGTGCCTGCTACCCCAAGCCCTTAGAGAGCAGAGCTGTGGGGAGGTCTCCCACAGGAGAGCTCCCCCATGTGGCCAGCCCTGTCCCCGCAGCCTCGCCTGGCCAGGCACACAGCAGGCACTTCGTAAATGCTCCCTGTTGTGAATGAGGCAGGGCTTGTGACAGGTTTTCCAAAGTCCGAGGGTGCAAGGGGCAGGGACATTAATTCCTCATGTTCTGTCTTTGGATCAGATCGCTGTGGCCCCGGGCCCTGGGACATGGCACCCAAGGATGTGAGGGGCTCCCCAATCCCGGGAGAAATAGGTGCGCAGTGAAGCCTGAGGCTGGTGGCCGAGATGGGTGCCGGGCAGCCTTGCCGTGTGCCAGGTGCTGATCCTTGGGCCCACCCAGCTCAATTGGAGCAGAAATCAGGGGCAGTCTCCCCCATCCTGGGCTATTTGGAAGCTCAGAGCAGCCGCCGGGGCGAGTGGAATGGAGGTAGAGGCAGCAGGAACTGGAGAAAAAGCATCTCACAGACGTGTGACTTGGGCCTCCTGTCCCTGAACTCTCTGTGGACACCACATAGGGTCTCAGAAGGAGGCTGACAGTGGCAGGCAGGCCCTGCTGCAGGACTCTGGGGCTCCAGCCCCATCTCCAACCTTAGATCCTGGGTCTACAGAGCTGAGGGCCCTGGCTGCAGGGTCCCTCTGCTGCAGGGCTGGGGGGCTGGGCTGCCACCTTACTTTGTTGAGAGCTGGTGGAGCCTGGGTGTGGCCCAGTGGGGGAGCCTCGGGCACAAAGGGTGTGCTGCAGGGCCCTCCCGGAGGAGGGCATGGGCTTGGTCACCTGCTTGTCGACTCACCATGCAGCTGGCCCAGGGCGTAGGGTGAGGGCTGAATGGGACAGGGCAAAGGTCACCCATAGCTAAGGGAGCAGTGACATCACATAAGCTCCTGGGAAAAGATGCATCCACTTTGGGTAAAATACGGAACAAATGGGCAGCTGACATCAGCTGAGTCAGCTCTGGCCATAGCGGCCTGAGTACTTAGGGGACGGCTGCTTGGTGGCCAGGGACCAGGGCACATGGGCCGCGGGGAGGAGTCTGGGGCAGGGCGCACTGCAGCGCCTTCTACCTACCCACCTGCTTTCATTTCAGAGTTTGTGGCCACGGTCTTCAGTTTGTGGAGTGATGTGAAACTTCTGGAAGTTAGTTCATCTTTCTGAGTGTTTGCACACCTGCCTGCTTGTATAGCAAGCTTTTTCCAGGGGAGGGCCCCTGGGTCCTGGTGCCTCGAACGTAGTAGGTGATTGATAATGTTGAACGAGGGCCTGATCCTTGAGGTCAGAGCCATGTAGATGAGGCACTCAAATATTCCCAGAGCCGATGGGACACCACAAGGCAGCCCCTGATGTCCACTGAAAGTTCATAGCAAGCTCAGTTCCAAACAGGGCCCCACAGCCTCATGAGCAGACACTGGAATGACCTTCTGGCCTCTGCACCCACCTCTGCACCCCGCCTGGGTGTCCAGGACACGCCCAGCAGTACACCTGCTTCCTGATGCTTCCCTCAGGTACTGTCTGAATCCTGCAGGGCTTCCAGGCCATGACGGGGGTGCCCAGGCCTCTGACTGGTCTTCACTGCTCACTCTCTGCCCCACCCCCTCTTTCTTGCAGGACCCTCCCTCCGCGTGGCCACTTCTGCCTCCGCTGCAGTGCCTGACCTCCCTCCTGGTTGGTGTTCAGGACAGGAGCCCCCCCACGGATGGGGTCTCCTGCAAAGGCTGCTCCATGCTGGTCTCTGCCCCTTGCCACACCCGGACACTGTCAGGACTTGGTCTTGTTCTCTGTCGAGCCCCGTCTCTCCGCAGATGGGGGCTCCCTCCTGTCTCGGGGTATGCACTTGGCGCTCAGCTTGGCCAGGTGGTGTGAGGCCAGTGGAGCGGGGTCTTCAATGCCTCGGCTCTCATTTTCCCTAAAACAATTTGAAGAGCTGTCAAAACCTGTGCACAGGTTGAAGTCAACATCCAAATTTAAAAAAATGTCAATAATTGCAATGAACGTCATAGCTGGTGTGGTGTAAATATTGACCGTTTGAAATAAAGCTGTTAGTCACTCTCCTAAATGTATCCAAGAAGCTAAATACCAAAGTGGTTTTGGTACCCACCACCAACCATTTACAGAAAACACAGACACACATTTTTCTTTACTAGTCGGAAATCCTCCTCATGACATTTTTCATTAAACTCCTGATAATCATCCAATTTGGCCCAGAATTTTATTCTATTGTGACTTATTTTTATGCTTGAAAGTTTCTATAGATTCCCCCATCATTCTTTTAAAAAAAAATCCTCAAAAACCAGCCATGTAGGTTGCTTGGTGTAAAAAAAAAAAATCCTTACTTGAGAATATTGTTTTTTGTTTTTTTTAAAATTGACTTTAGAGAGAGAGGATGGGGGAGAGAGAGAGAGAGATAGAGAGAGAGAGAGAGAGAGAGATGTGAGAGAACATTATCCTTTGCCTCCATATGTGCCCTGACTGGGGGTCGAATCCACTACCTAGGTAAGCACCCTGACCAGGAATTAAACCCGCAACCTTTTGGTATATGGGACTATGCTACAGCTAACTGAGCCACCTGGCCAGGGTCCCCATCACACTTTTTGGAAACAAATACACATGTAAGTTTTAATAAATTGAATATTTAATAAATAACTTTAAAACTAATTTTTTTGTTTCTAATGACCATTTGACTCATTTTACATGATCTAGGTCTTTGGGTGCAGTCAGTTAGAGATGGGAACACAGGACAGGAGCCCACTGACCTGCTGCTGCCGGGAGCCGGAGCTCCAGCCGGGCTCACGAGGCCTTCCCTGGGGACCCCTGGTGCTTCTGCAGGGGTGAGGGGTGAGGTCACCTTGGACATGGGTCCCCAGTCCAGGTGATGCCTGAACCCCTGACCACAGGAAGTGGGGACCCTCTGGTAGCCAGGACTGGCCCCCAAAGTCAGCACGTGGGTGTGGCTGGAGCTGTGAGTGGAGTCATCTGCTGCTGGTGCAGAGACTGTTGACATTTACGCAGTTTGAGATGGAATAAATTTACGATGTTACCCTGGATGTGTTCCACCCTGGGGACAGTGGGGACATGGCAGCGGCCGGCGGTTCCCTGGGACACCCCGGGTGAGGGAAGCTGTTGGCAGGACACCCCAAGGCTGATACCTGCCAGCTGGTGGGTGTGAAGGCAGCAGAGATGGTGGAGGACTGTGGGTGCCGTTACCCAGAGGGGCTCTGGACAGGCCCCCTTTGCTGCACCTTCCCCGTCCGTGCGCAGGGGTTTCTGGTCCTCGAACTGCTGTGTGACCTCTGTGACATCAGGCAGCGCCTTTGGATCCATAGCCTGGCGGGGCTGCTGCCTGGCGCCCTTGGAGGACTGTCCCTCAGGTGGTTATTTCTGTCACATGTGTCTGCATGTCCACAGTCCCATCCAGCACCCCTCCCTCCTGGCCCACAGACTCATCCTGTCACCAACCCCCATGGTTGTTGGTCATCCTGACTCTTGCTGAGATGGACGCAGCAGCGTGGGTCATGGCTGAGGGATGCGCCTCTTATGCCCCTTTCTCTCCACCCCCCCACCCCCACCCCGAATGGCCAGAGCACTCCGCTTGGACTTTTAACTCTCTGAAGAGCACACACACGCATGCACACTCATCTCATGTACATAAGCACACACACTCATGTACACACAGGCACACTCTCATGTAGCATGCACACACATGCACTCTTACTGCATACACGCAATACAACTCGGGCACCACACCCACTCACTAATGCACACACACCTACATGAACTCACACATATGCGCAGCTATCCAATGTACAAACATACAGCACACATGTAAGCACATTCACGCATGCACATTCGTCTTTATACACCGCACGCTCACACACACATAACTCTTACCCCTCACCACCCAGTCATGTGCACACATGCAGACACATGTGCACAGAGCAAGGAAGGGACCCAAAATGTAAGGCCACAGGCAGCCTGGGCTCTATCCCGCTCCCCACCCCTGTGGAAGCTCACTCCACACGGAGCGCCTGACTGCAGCATGCGGTGCCCTTCTGTGCTCTGGAAACATCACGTGCCAGTGGCCATGTCACAACACGGCTCCCAGCTGGGCTCAGGCGGCCGTGTCGCTACTGAAGCCCTCCAGGTGTATTTAGTGCTGAGCGTCGTTGGTTTGGGTAATGAGGCGCTCTCTGTTCTGCCAGGGCCGCTGAGGTGGGAGGGACGCTGGGTCCCCACGGGGGCGGGCCAGGGAAGAACGGCCCTGCTCCAAGCACCAGGGCACAGACAGGGCCTTGCAGGCCAGTGGGCCGCCCTCCTCGAGGGTCAGAGACGCACATGGATGCCAGTAACCAGCCTCACGAAGGGCGAACAATGTGAAACACTGTATTTTGCCTGACGGTTCTGCATCTACAGTGTGTCCACAGCACAGCGTCGGGTCTCGGTTCATGTCAGCAACAGAAGCAGGTGAACAGGCAGACAGTGATGGAGACAGGAGCCGCCCGGAGGCCATCTGGTTGCCTGTCTGCTGGGCCTGTGAGACGCACGGGGTCGGTGGCAGGTACGGACACTGCGGTAAGCTACAGCTTCACTGTCAGGAATCCCGGGAAGTGAGGCTCCTCGCGCTCAGATACTGAGCGTGGGACCTGGGGCACCTGTCACACTCCTGGTCTCTCCCAGTGGGTGCGAAGGAGGGAGCTGCTCCGGGGGACATCCTCCCGCCTAGACCGCAGAGCACACGGGCGAGTCGCACCATGACAGCCGAGCAGACCACTGGTCACCTGACTACCTTGCCTGTGCACGATGTGCCGTGTGCATGTTGGTGGTGATGTGCGCACAGGGATAGTGTACTGTGCATGGGTGGGTGAACATGTGATGCACACACGTGGCATGTACATGTGTGGTGCACACACAGATGTGTGTGTGTGTGTGTGTGTGTGTGTGTGTGTGTGTGTACATGTCACAGTTCCAAGGGGAGGAAGGGAGGGGCGGTTGTGCACGGTCTCACACGCATGTCACATCCTTCTGGGCATCCAGGCTTCTGCCCCTGTGAGGACCCACTGACCCCAGCCAAGGGATGGGGCACTTCTGTCCTCTGAGTCAGGGCTTTGTGCCCAGATGTTCATGGAAATGCCAGCTCCTTCTCTTTGCGGGGCAGGGAACTTTATTTTCCCCAAATTCCCATGTTGGGGCGGGATCTAGTCCTGACAGCGGCTGGCTTAGGAAATGGAATATTTGTTAAAGGACAGTTGGGCTTTTGCAGAGCCGTGGCGCCCCCTCCACCCCCCTGAAGGCCACGTGCTCCCAGAGCACAGCTGGGTGCCCCGCATCTGTGAGGCCCTCAGCCTGTGGGGCTGGGGCTGCATTCAGGGTGGGGGCTGAGATGGAGATGGCACGGGCGTCGGCTCAGATGTGGGGCCCAGGTTCAGAGCGCACTGGGCTGGCCAGCAGGCTGCCCGCCCCTGGAACAAGACTTAACACACACATAGAACATGAGAAAGATCAGTGTGCCTCCTGCCACGGCCGTCACAGGCGGGCAGGCCCCCACACGGAGGCCGGTTCCTCTGCCTGCTGCGTGGCTGGGCTGCCCGGGGACGGGCGCTTCAGGTCCACGAGGGCTGACTGTGGGCACGACAACTTGTCTGATCTCGGAGTTCGGGGAGGCAACGTGGCCCAAAGCGTCTTCCCACTTGAGTCCTTCATAACCAGAGGTCAGCGGGGGTGCCAGCCGCTTCCGAGCGGCTCTGTCACTTGGTGACCCTGCCGACCTCACGTGGGAAAGGGTCCCTGCTCTGCTCTGACGCTCGCCCGGGGTGGGTGGCACGGCGGCTACACAGTCGTCTCATTCTTCCAGGGCCCCGTTCGGATGTTGCCTGTGCTGTCAGCACCGTAAGGCACGGCTTTGCACACGTCGCCCTTGAGCAACCCGTTCTGGCCAGGGCCCCCAAAGGGCAGGGACTGTGTCCTCTGGAGCATCTCAAAGTGGGCGGGGCCACGGCCTACCTCCCTGCCGGGCCGCGGGGTGCAGCCGTAGAGTGTGGGACTGACGTTGCCACTCTCGGGCTGGCTGACCAAGGGGAAGGGGTCGCCCTGGGCGCAGCAGGCCAGCGTGTGCATCCCCGCCGGGCCCT